TATTCTCTGCATTCAGCCAAGAATCATCTTAGGCCAGCAATGATATCCCTCATTCCACATTCGCTTCTGAATCTGACTTGAACCTCTGGAAGTTCTCTGCCAATGTATGCTTGTAGCTGTTTTGAAATTATATTTAGCAAAATTTTACTTGCATGTGATATTAATTATATTGTCTGATGAGTTCTGCATTCCTTGGGTCACTTGTTTTTGGAATGGACACAAATATGGATCTCTTCCACTCAGTTGACCAGGTAGTTGTTTTTCCAAAGTTCTTGACATAGATGAGTTGAGTACCTCCAGTGCTGCATCAGTTTGTTGAAAGATTTCAGTTTGTATTACATCTATTCCCAGAGCCTTGTTCTTTGCCAGTACCTTTAATGCACCTTGGACTACTTCCTTCAGTATCATTGGCTCTTGATCATATGCTACCTCTTGAAATGGTTGAACATTCACCATTTCTTTAGGGTAGAGTTGACTCTCTGTATCTCTTCCATCTTCTTTTGATGTTTTCTGCATCATTCAATATTTTGCCCATTTGTTGTTGTTGTTAGGTGCCATCGAGTCGGTACCAACCCATAGCGTACTTATGCACAGCAGAATGAAACACTGCCAGATCCTGGGCCAACCTCACTACTGTTGCCACACTTGAGTCCATCGATGCTGCCACTTGGCCAGTCCATCTCAATGGGGGTCTTCCTCTTTTCCTCTGACCCTCCACCTCACCAAACATGATATCCATCTCCAGTGACTGGTCCCTTCTGACAGTATGTCCGAAGTATGAGAGACAAGGTGTGGCCACTTTGGCCTCCAAGGAGCACTCTGGCTGCACTTCTTCTAAAACAGATCTGTTGGTTCTTTTGGCAGCCCATGGCACTTTCAACATTCTCCTCCAACACTCTAATTCAAAAGCATCAATTCTTCAATGGTCTTCCTTATTCACTGTCCAGCTTTCGCATGCATATAAAGTGATTGAAAATACCATGGTTTGGGTCAGGTGAACCTTAGTCCTCAAGCTGACATCTTTGCTCTTCAGCACTTTAAAAAGGTCTTGTGTAGCAGATATGCCTAATGCAATACGTTGGTTGATTTCTTTACTGCTGCTTCCATGAGTGGTGATGGTTGATCCAAGAAGAATGAAGTCCTTGACAACTTGAGTCTTTTCTCCGTTGATAAGACTGTTGTTTATCGGTCTTGTGGTGAGGATTTTTGTTTTCTTTACATTGAGATGCAATCTGTATCGAAGATTGTGGTCTGTGATCGTCATCATTAAATGTTTTAAGTCCTCTTCATTTTCAGAAAGCAAGCTTGTTTTGCCCATAGAATCTTTTAATATTGCAAATTGAAGCTTGAATTTTTCCATCACTTCCCTCATCTTGAGAAATGCCTGATGTTAAAAAAAAAAAAAAAGAGCTAAAATGAATAGAGAGAATTACTGTTAACTGTTGGTACATGAAGGGGATTATAATCATTGTAATGAAACAAAGTGTATGATTTGATGAATGTAAAACTGATGATCAGCCTTGTAAACTTTCACTCAATTCACAATAAAAACATAAAAAAAAAAAATCAGTAGTCTTCACACACAAATCAGATGATATAATGGAAGTGAAGTGTTCATGTATGATAGTAATTAAACAAATTTATACCACCAAAAGGCACATTCTGCAAGTCTGCCACCTGACTGCTGGTTCTCAGTCCCTCTCTTTCCATGAATCCAGAGTCCTCAGCTGCTCCCTTTTGCTATTGATTTTTTAAATAAAATTTTTATTATGGAATAATTTTAGATTTACAGAAAAATTGCAAATATACTCAGACGGTTCCCATGTACATTTGCTTAGTTTCCTTTACACATCTTACACTACCATGGTTTATTGGTCAAGAAACTGACGTTGGTTGCTCACTATAAACCAAACTCCACAGAAAATTATGTGGAACAAAGAAATCTACAACACCATACACAAACACACATCCCAGAAAAAAGCAGCACAATAACAGCAACCAGTTCTTACATTAATTATAAATATACCAGTCATAAGACAGGGAGTAACAGAATGGATAAGAAAAGAAGACCCATCAATAAGCTATCTATAAGAGAGACACTTTATACACAAGCATAAAAGTAGACTAAAAATCAAAAGATGGAAAAAATGTATCAAGCTAACAGCAGTCATAAAAAGTCACAGAAAATATTAATTTCTGATAAAATAAGTTTAAGACAAAAACCAATATAAGAGACAAAGAAGAACATTATATTATGATAAAAGGGTTAATTGAACATGAGGACATAATCATAATAAGTATCTATGCACTCAGTGAAAGAGCCTCAGAATCCATAAATCATGCTCTGTCAGAATTGAAGAGATTTTAATGTACCACTTTTGATGAAGGACAGAACAAAGAAAGAAGCTTAACAAAGGCACAGAAGAACTAAAACAACACAATCAACCAATTTGACCTTATAGACATATATAGGACACTCCACCCAACGCCAGCACAATATACATTATTTTCCAGTGCACATGGAACATTCTTCAGGGTAGACCATGTGTGAGGCCTAAAAGCAAGCCTAAATAAAATAAAAAACATCAAATTACTACAAATCATCTTAGATCACTGTGCTATAAAATTATAAAATTGCCATAGGAAGATCAAGGAAAAAAACTCAAATGCATGGAAATTGAATAACATAAATAAATCAATAAATGCCAGGCTTTTTTTGGACTTTACCAGTGTTTCCACTAATGTTGTTTCTGCTCCAGAATCCAGTTCAGGGTACCACATTGTATTTAATTGCCATGTTTCCCCAGGTTGTTCTGGTCTCTGACAGTTTTTTTGTGTGTGACAGTATTTCTTCATTTTCCATGACTTTGCCAGCTTTGAGGACTAACTAGGTGTACAGTAGAATGTTCCTCAATCTGGATTTGTAATTTTTTTTGTGTGTAATTATATTGAGGTTGTAGGGTTTTGGAAAGAATGCAACAAAGATAACATTACATGAGGTGGTACAAAATATCCACATGACGTCACCCATGATGAAAGTTACCTGTTTTTCCTTTCCTTGCTCTGGTTTTTAGAAGCAAGTTTGTAAATCCAGCCTGCCCTCAAAGAGATGGGAAGATTAAGTTCCACCTCCTAGAGATGTATTTACATATATTATTTGGAATTTTTCTGTAAAGCGGATTTGTCTTACCTCCCCAATTTTTTTTATTCTATCATTTATTTATACTATATGAACTGTATAAACTTGGAGTCCTGATGTGGCGCTGTGGGCTAATACATCTGACTGCAAAATCGTTAGAACTTCAAGGTCGATGGTTCAAGCTTACCAGCTGTTCCTAGGAAACCCTGTACAGGGTTGTTGTAAGTCGGAATTGACTTGACGGCACTTAACAACAACATACGTGCTTACTTTATACTTTGGGTTATAATTCAGTCCTACATTATTTATTTACATGTTTAGTTTGTTCTATCTTCAATCATTGGGAGTTCACTCAAGTTTTGTTTGCTATGCCCATTTGACATGTACCCATCTTTTTGGTTTTTGAATACTTCCTTTCTGGTACTACAAAATGACCCAGACTCATGTTGTGTATCTCTTATCCCAGCCCTTGTTGTTGTCATAGTTAAATGCCATTGAGTTGGTTCTCATAGCAACCCTGTATAGCGTTTCCAAGAAAGCGGCTGATGAGTTAGAACCACTGACTTTGTGGTTTAAACCAACCTTGCGTTCCTGTGCTTTATCCCACATTGCCACACCAGGATTCCAGCTCTAGTATCAGCCATTTCTCCAAGGAGCAGTGGTTCCTTTTATTGGAGAATGGTATTTAGAAACCAAGATTTGTATACCATGTGTACTTGTTGCTTCTGTAGTGTCACTGTTGACTATGATCAGAGAAACTGTCCTCTGAGCATTTAAAACTAAGTAATATGTATGTTTATACAATCTATGTCTATATATCTATATATATATGGTGGTGGTTATATCTAGAATTATTTCTGCACCTCTCCATCTGTGTATAAATATATGTGTGTATATCTGTGCATTTATACTGATGTCACTAGCCCTAATCTACTACAACAGGCTTCTTTCTAGTGAAGACTATTGAGTTTTTGCAAGATAATTTTATAGCCCCACTATTACTAAATTTCCTTGTTGTCTGTAAGTTATTTTCCATTGGTTTTTTTTTTTGTGTGCTTTCTAGATACATAATTTTGTCATCTGTAGACATAGTTGTGTCTCATCTCCAAGTTTTATGCTTCAAATTTCTGTCTTTTTTCTAATTCCATTGCTGTTAGCTCCATGCAGTGTTATATATAGAAAAGGAGATGAAGGACTTCCTTGTCTAGTTCCTGACTTTAATGGGAAAACTTCTAGTTTTTTCCTATTAATTAACGTATTTACTTTTGGTCTAAGGTACATTTATTTTATTGCATTAAGAAAGTATCCATCAAGTCCTATAAAGATAAATGGGTGTTGGGTTTTGTAATACTCCTGACATAAATCATCTTAATTACTCTAATGTTTATTTGTATTGTATATGCACAAGGATCGGTGAGAGAAAGAAATATAAATTACTTGTTCGATGGAAAACTTTAAAAGGGTCCATAAGATTTTTATAAAAAGTTTTGAGTTGGAAGGAGCTTTAGAGATAATCTTATACACCCAGAAAAGAACAGTGGTCTGTCTTAGTCACATAGCTAGTTGGTCACAAAACTGTGAATGGAATTTGACCTCCTAACTTTCAGCCTTATGTGCCTTACCCAGCAAGATGGCCACATTATCTAATAGGCTATGTAGGGGTTGGTCAGTACAGTCCTCTTATTTTCTTGAGGAAAATCGAATACTGTTCTGCTCTGTCCTCGGTTGTTAATTAAGAAAGAAGCCTTTAAAAATCTATCAGTGCCTGAATTGCTTCTTAGGATATGACTTTTGATGTCTGCTGCAGTGTAGTTAAATCTTACATTATTCTCAACACCCTTTTTGTTTCTTTTTCTTTTAGCATTTGGAGTACTGCTTTGGGAAATCGCTACCTATGGCATGTCACCTTATCCGGGAATTGACCTGTCCCAGGTGTATGAACTACTGGAGAAAGACTACCGCATGGAGCGTCCAGAAGGCTGCCCAGAGAAAGTCTATGAGCTCATGCGAGCATGTAAGCCCTCCCAGCCAGTTTTTAAAAATACCCGTGGTCATTGTAAGAGATTCCAGCAATGCCGGAGTGAATACATAAAGTAAAAAAAGTATATTTTATTTCTTCTCTCATTCTCATTCCTTAGAGGCAGCTAATAGTTTGATACATATTTTTCTAAACCCTTTTCACTGCTTTTTTATAGTTGTTTAGTCTTTAAGCAAAAATTTGATTTAAAGATCCTAAACCTAGGGTTCTTACTAATAAATACAGGTTTCTGGGTCATACCTCCAAATACTCTAATGTAGTAAGGTAAATATGCCAAGTGATGCTTATCTAGCTGCTGTTACTGATACCTGTATTATTATATTTATATGATTTTTGTGTTATGTGAACTTTCCCCACTTAATAGTATAGCAGGCATGTCTTTTCATGTTTATATAGTTCGACCTTTTTCTCATATTCATATAGCTGCCTAGCATTCTATTAAATGATATGCAAGGGAGCTTCAAAATGAAAACATGGAATTGAAAGTTAATGGAATTTTTATATGAACTTGTTGAAGCCCCCACATGTTCATTTATCTAGTCCTTTTTTATGAACTCTTGATTGTTTTATACATTTGTTTGCTTCTTGCCATTATAAACTAGGCAGGAATAAACATCCTTGTAAATATATCTCTGCCTACTTATGCCAGTATGTATAAAAGTGGAATTATTAGTTCAAAGGGTTTTAGATACTTTAAATTTTGATAGATTTATATACCAAATTTAGACTCCCAACCCAAAGTGTACATAAGTGACTTTCTGTACATCCTCATAGAACCTGGTCATTATCAAACCTTTAAATCTCATCTTAATTAGCATTTCTTTCCTTATAAGGATTTCAGACTTTGATAGTCATAAAGTAAGAGTATAATAGATGGCGAGTTATTTGGTTTAGTAATTCTCTGCATCAGCTACAGTGGGGTTGGGAAAAGTGCAGTTCTTGCTGCCATATATCTTTCTGGGGCTTTACAATCCTTATACTTTCTACAATGCATCTCTTCAAATTCCTAATGTTTGTGACAGGACACAGTGGCAATTGTCACGTTTTTAACTTATTGTAGCAAAACATGGTTAGCAAGATTGGGATGCTAATTTTCAGACTTTTCCTTGAGAATTGCTAATCCTAAACTTGTTAGCAAGGCCTCATGGGTGGTGTGATTCTGATCTCATCTGTCTAGGTTGGCAGTGGAATCCCTCTGACCGGCCCTCCTTTGCTGAAATCCACCAAGCCTTTGAAACAATGTTTCAGGAATCCAGCATATCAGATGGTAAAGTTGCTTTCCCAGGGTGTTCTGCTGGGGAAAAAAGGTTGGGATAGGAGGGGTGGCCATGTTGGGGCTAAGTCCTTGGTCCTTCTGTTAGCTTCTCAGTAGAAGTACATGAGCAAGCAAGTTATCTGAAAACAGGAAATTGGGCTTTCTGCCTTTTAGAACATGAAGAGTTCTTCTGAAAGATCAGTGCTATTTCTGCAGCATCCCTCTCTTTTCTGTAACTGTGAACTGTGTATAGATAGATGACCATCATTATCTAAAAGTGAAAAAGAACACCAACATATATCCAAATGACACTGTTACTGATGGCTGCTGGGTTTTCTGTGTGTGATTCTTAGAAGTGGAAAAGGAACTGGGGAAAAAAGGCATGCGAGGTGTTGCAAGTACTCTGCTGCAAGCCCCGGAGCTGCCCACCAAGACGAGAACCTCCAGGAGAGCTGCGGAGCATAAGGACTCCACTGATGTGCCTGAGACGCCCCTTTCTAAGGGTCAGGGAGATAATGGTAAGTATCGCAGCCCACCTTGCTACCCTCATCAGCTCTTTCCTTTACCCCACCACAAGTGCAAGGGCCAGTGTAGCCAAAGGAAAGCAGTAACCAAACCTGCATAGACGAACAGGCACACCCCACATTGGTGGTCCAGGTTTTGTTCTCATCCCCCTGGTACCACCTTCTCCCTCTTCCTGGGACTTGCCTAGGATCCATTGGCTGTGGCAGTTAGTTTGGTAGTTTTGAACTGCTGACCTTGCGGTTCGCAGCCCGATTCATAACTAGTACACTACCAGAGCTCCTTGTGTAACATATTAGGAATTTATTTATAAACATTGTAAAAAATTTATTTGTAAACATTGTCTTGGAGGCTGCATCTGATGTCCTTTAACTTCATAAAAGGGAAAGAGAATCAAACTCAGAATCAGCTCAAAGACAATGACTATAAAGCAGAACTTAGACGTGCCTCCACCCTTCATCCTTCTTTATAAGTTTTGACACCAGCAGTCCCTTCCACAACACTCTCTATTTCTTATCTGGGTTTGATAATTCATTGCAGTGGCCACACAGAATTCACAAACAATAGTCACAATTACGGGATTTTTTAGGGAAGTTAGCAGGTTACAATTCAGGATCAGAAATGTTTAGGACAGTCTCTTCTGAGCCATGCCCATAGGCAGGCCTCTCTCTGGTCCTCAGCCACAAGTCCCCTTGGCCTCTGCCCTGCTAGGCAATATTACAAAACTCTATTGGTGCTGCTGATAAATACCCAAAGGGCACTCTACTCTGCTGTGAGCCTTAGCCTGAAGGTGCTCAGCTCTAGCTCCAGGGTCATCAAAGCTAGTTTCTTAGTTAAGTGCCAGAGCACCCCCCTCTACAAGCGAGCCTCTGACCAGAGGCACTTAGCTCTACTCACTCCGTGGGCTGAAAAGTCCACTGCTCTTGCTCTTGGGTCTGCTGTTGCCTCTCTGCTGCTGCTTTGGCCTCACAGCTTCTGCTCTGGGATCTAAAGACATGTTCCTCTCCTGACTCTTTAAATCCAGCAGGATGACAAAATTAGATTTCCAAGTCTTCACAGTCACAACCTTTTTAACAATCATTTACAGTTGAATCATATAATTCTATATATATCTTCTCCTGCCACCTCTTACCCAGCCAGACCCATCAGGAAAAGAGGAAATATACCCAGTCTTCATGGTTAGTCATTTGGTGGGAACTGCAAAGGCCATGACTAGAAGTGCCATATTCAATACAATTCATTGAACCACACATATACATACACTACTAAACAGATACATATAAAGTCATGCGTTGCTTAACTTATACAATATGTTCTGTGAAGGAAGTAGGCCATTTTGGGATTTTGACATTGTGGGAGCACCGTTTCATATGAATATAGACAGTCCCCAGATTACGAATGTGTTCCATTTAAGGCAAATTTGTACTTAAGAAATAACAGTTAGGTGCAGTTTGTATCTAATGTCATTTGTTTTAGTATATAGTGGGTTACATGTTAGGCTGCTAACCCCAAGGTCAGCAGTTCAAATCCACAAGGTACCCCTCTGGAGAAAGATAAAGCTTTTACTCCCATAAAGATTTATAGTCTAAGAAACCTTATACAGGATTGCTGTGGGTCAGAATTGACTCCACAGCATACTAACATTACCACATATAGTGTACCTATCTATGCATAAAAGCATTAAAAAAACACTTCCAGAAACACTGAAACATAATACACACTGACATAATAATACAATAGTGATAATGTTTTGATGTTCTTCACATTTGTTATTATGAACCCCAACTTTTTATTATAATAGACTTTGTGGGAGTTGGGACTAAGGTCGTTGCCCGAATGGACATTATGCAACACATGACTACATTATAAAGCCCACCCGGAAAGTACATTTCAAAGGTTTACATAAGTGATAAATCTCAGTTAAAATATTTTCTTTTCACATCCCACTGGATCATCTGTCTACCCCTTTTTGGTGGTCGTGGCATTCAGAATCTTCTACTCTTCATCCTTGTGTAAGTTGTCATGATTTCAGGTAGTGGAGCAGTACGAGGAGAGGCAGCTATGGAAACGTGCTTATTAAAAGCCCGGTGATGAGCAATCATGTTCGCTTATGCCCGTCAGTAGTCATCTAAGAGGTATTTTGATATGTAATCTCATGGTGAGCCAAGAGTGTCAATTAGCTGCTCAGCACTGAAATAGGGCTGTGTATAATTCATTACATTTCACTTTCTCCACATTCTTCCACTGTCTGAAAGTTTGGTAGACCTTTGACTTTCCTTGATTTCAGGTGTCCTGCCTGCTGCCTGATGTTGTGATGAATGCTCTCCTGTACCTCTGTTCTGAAGTACAGGGTGCCAACAGGAAACCTCTTTTCTTATAGCTTGAACTCAGAACTTTGTCATTTACTAACACGGAGCTGGGCAGCACCCAAAGGATCTATTATTCATATTTATTTAAAGAGTCCCCATTAAAAAATGTTCAGTCCTCCCATTTTTGTTTTCTAAGGCTAATAGCCCATTATTGCTGTGTCCCTATAGTATCTAACCTCTTTGTTCCTGGGTTATATCTTATAAGAGTTTTCAACAAGCTGGATCGTCTGAAGGTCACAGTTTCTGATCCTTTGCTTAGCCTGGTTCTTGTTTTTTATTCGCCAGATAATGATGTTGGAGAGGGTGAGGGGCTGTGCTGCTGTCATGTAAATTAGTAAGAGAATAAGGAGCTTAGGGCCATCTTAGCTTTGTGTTCCTCTGTGAATAAGCTTTAGCCTTTCTAAACAGTGATGATAATAATGTTAGCAACATTTATTGTGACATTATGTACTAGTAACCATGATAACTAGTTCATAGTCACATACTCACAACAATAGATTATTGTCCCCATTTTATAGGTGAGGAAGCTGAGGATGAAAGAATTAAAGTCACTTACCTGGGACTTCTGGATAATGAATGGCAGAGTGACAAATAAGGCATGTCAGAGTCCTGAACCCAAATTCTTAGCTGTTCCTCTCTAGAGAGCAGGGTGGCCAGCCTGAGATTAGCCACTCAAAAGTCTGGAGTTTTTGAATTCTTCCCACTGTTTTTCAGATCCTCTGGACCATGAGCCCACTGTGTCTCCATTACTCCCTCGAAAAGAACGAGGTCCCCAGGATGCTGGCTTAAATGAAGATGAGCGCCTTCTCCCCAAAGACAAAAAGACCAACTTATTCAGCGCCTTAATCAAGAAAAAGAAGAAAACAGCCCCAACTCCTCCCAAACGCAGCAGCTCCTTCCGTGAGATGGACGGCCAGCCAGAGCGCAAGGTGGGCAGTGAGGAAGAAAGTCGAGAAATCAGCAATGGGGCGCTGCCTCTCACACCCTCAGACACAGCTGAGCCAAGCAAGTCCCCAAAGCCCAGCAATGGGGCCAGTGTCCCCAATGGGGCCTTCCGGTCTCCTCACCTGTGGAAAAAATCTAACACACTGACCAGCAGCCGATTAGGAGCCAGCGAAGAGGAGAGTGGCAGCAGCTCCAGCAAACGCTTCCTAAGATCCTGCTCTGCCTCCTGTGTGCCCCATGGGGCCAAGGACACAGAGTGGAGGTCAGTCACACTGCCCCGAGATTTGCAGTCCACAGGACGACAGTTTGACTCGTCCACATTTGGAGGGCACAAAAGTGAGAAGCCAGCTTTGCCTCGAAAGCGGGCAAGTGAGAACAGGTCTGACCAGGTGACCAGGGGCACAGTGACTCCCCCACCCAGGCTGGTGAAGAAGAATGAGGAAGTAGCTGATGAGGTCTTCAGAGACAACACTGAGTCCAGCCCAGGCTCCAGTCCTCCCTGTTTGACTCCAAAGCTCATCCGTAGGCAAGTCATGATGGCGCCTTCCTCTGGCCTTCCACACAAGGAAGAGGCTGGGAAATCCAGTGCCTTAGGGACCCCTCTTGTAGCTGAGCCAGTGCCCACCACCAGCAGAGCAGGGTCGGGTGCATCTGGAGGTCCCAGCAAGGTCCCTGCTGAGGAGCCCAGAGTTAGGAGGTACAAGCACTCTTCTGAGTCACCGGGGAAAGACAAGGGGAAACTGTCCAAGCTCAAGCCTGCCCCTCCGCCCCCTCCCCCAGCCTCTGGGGGGAAAGCTGCAAAGTCCTCTCAGAGCCCGAACCACGAAGCAGTTGGGGAGGTAGGAGCTGGTGCAAAACCAAAATCCTCGGCTCTGAGTATGGATGTTGTGAACAGTGATGGTGCCAAGCCAAATCCACCAGGAGAGGGCATCAAAAAACCTGTGCTCCCTTCCATGCCAAAGCCACAGTCATCTGCCAAGCCGTCGGGGACCCCAGTCAGCCCAGCCCCCACTGCCTCATCACTGCCGTCAGTACCCTCATCCCTGGGAGGGGACCAGCAGTCTTCTACTGCCTTCATCCCTCTCATCTCTACTCGAGTTTCTCTTCGGAAAACCCGGCAGCTTCCAGAGCGGATTGCCAGTGGTACCATTACCAAGGGCGTGGTCCTGGACAGCACCAACGCCCTGTGCCTCGCCATCTCCAAGAACTCTGAACAGATGGCCAGCCATAGTGCAGTGCTAGAAGCCGGCAAAAATCTCTACACATTCTGCGTGAGCTACGTGGATTCCATCCAGCAAATGAGAAACAAATTTGCCTTCCGCGAAGCCATCAACAAACTTGAGAACAATCTCCGGGAGCTTCAAATCTGCCCAGCGACAGCAGGGAGTGGCCCTGCTGCCACTCAGGACTTTAGCAAACTCCTCAGTTCAGTGAAAGAAATCAGTGACATCGTACAGAGGTAGCAGAAGCCGTGTCATGCCAGCTGGAGATGCCTTCAGCACGTGAGGACTTCCTGTGCCATGATGGGGATGGACAAAGGACCATGAACCGGGGCCGTGGCCCAGGAGCTCTGCACAGGTGGAGCTGGGGGGCCGCGTGGAGTACAGCCTGACTACCTATGTGTGCACCGACTGTCCACATGCACTTTCCTCCTATCAGCACCAGCTCCCTGAGCCTTCTCTGTCCCCTGACATATCTGTGGATGTCCTTCTCCCACCAGGCTCGCTCCTGCACACTGCTTTAAAACTCAGCTTTTCAGGGCAAGTGGGAATGGCGGCAGATAAGGATTTTTGTTTTTCTTTTTGTCTCTGGCTATTTCCCCCCCCCCCCCAAAAAAAAAAAAAAAAATAAGTGTCCTGAGCTTGAGCTTTTCACCAAGGCCTAGTGAATAGTCACCTCAGTTTCCGAAGTTGACCCTCAAATGTAAAGACACATTTCAAGAACTGCATCCTAAAGAAGTGGAGGGTGGGTACTCAGTGCTGCTTCCATTGGTGTGAGCTTCCCCCTTCCTTATGTGCATCTGGATTTGGCCATAAGACAGGGTGAGAGCAAGCTAGCCTTTGGGTCCAGGGCAGGTGGCAAGAAGCTGAAGAGGACGGCAGTGTGGGACATTGCTCTTGTCATCCATTTCCTCCACGCTCCTTGAGCTCTTGTGACATGCAGTATTAATCTTGGAGAGCATGCTTGAGTCAGGGCGGTGTGGTTGCTGCTGCTGCTGCAGACATTGCAGCCAAATGGGGACAGGGCAGCAGGTAATGGGGAGCTAGAGAGAGCCCAGAGCTGAACCTAGCAGGGTTGCCATCCATTCACATTTCCAAGTGCCCTGGAAAGGTCTTCAGTTTGGACCTGTCACCTGTCCCTTGCTCTCCTCTTCCTCTGAGGCAGAATCTTGGGAGGCCCCCTCTCCACTGAGATAGGACAGTCTTCAGTTTTCTGGAGTTCTTGAAGCATTTCAGAGCTCTGCTGTCTCATGATACAGAAAGGGGCCACCGGTAGGCAGCAGCACATGAAGAGGAGGCCAAGAGTTGCTGGCCCCTGGGACCTGACAGTGGCGGCTGCACTCTTGAATTGGGCAGATGTCTTTTATTTAATTACCACGAGCAACACTTAGCCTAATGCTTCTGTGGGGGCTATTAGGGGTTGTCCATAAAACCACAAACAAATTAAGCCCCAGAAAGTATTTCAGAGAGCACCCCTTAGTGTCTGGTATCAGGTGCTGTCACTTCGACACATAGGGCAGGGATCCCGGACTCCTTAACCTTGATACTGAGCATGCAGGCATCTGCCTGGGCCTCACAGTCATGCCCAGAAGCAACCCTTAGAGAAACCAAGAGAAGACCCCTTCCCATGTTCCTTGTCTTCTCATGCCTGTGACCAGCACAGGCCCTATTTCCACACTACTCACTGAAACTTGTACTTGACTTTTCTGGATCACTCTGTGCTGTTCTCACAGCACGTCACCTTTTTGTCACTCCTACCCCCCAGACTGCTGTGTTCCACAGACTGAGGGAGGTGGTAGAACGCCGCCAGCAGCCTTGCAGAGCAAAGCAAAACCACCCCCCACAGATGCCCCCGGACGGACTGTTTCGATGAGGTACTGGTTTCTTTTTTTTTGTTAACATGATGTGCCGCTATATTTTGCATTTATATCTTGGTATTATACACTTTTTTAGACTTCCTCTTTTTTAAATGATGTGTAAATAGTTTTCCACTTTCTCCCTTATGGAATGCTTATGGTGTCTTTTTCTTTTTCTTTTTTTTTGGTCCAATACATTTTGTTTCTGTATATGACTCTGTGGTTTTGAATCCAAATCTCTCCTTTGTAGTATTTTTAAACAAATACATGTTTACAACTTTTGAACTTTCCGTAGATGGTTTGGTCTGTAATCCTTCCTGTCGTGCAGAGTCATTGCCCACGTGGGAGAGGGAGAGGGCTTTTCTGTTCCTGACAGAGCTGGAGGCTCAGTGTGCAGAACAGAGGAGAGCACAGGCAGGGTTGTGGCAGGAACCGCACCGACTTCCCAGCTCGAGCTCTGGATTTGCAGCCCAGCTGCCTAGATGTGTCGTGTGGCCTTTGTCATTATCAGCTACTCTCAAGCTGTTTCCTTGCTGTGAGTTCAGGTCCTTCCTGTGTCCTTGAAACATGTTTGCCAGCAGCCCAAGCTCTTGTCTGTGTGGCCACACTGATGGGCCAGGGAACAGGAAGGTTGGCCCCAGAGACTGTCACAGTGCCACTTACATGGGCAGATAAGAAACGTGCTGAGTTCCTGGCTGGACTGAGTTCATCACTTCCAAAAGCGCATGTTTTCATCTCTGTACCTGAACCCATTCTCTGTCACTGCCCTCGGCCACCACTGTGCCCCTCATATACTGTGTTTTATGTGCCTGAGTATCCTAAATCTCTGCGTAAACGAGGAGGCGCTGAGGAGGGCTTGCCTCTGAGGGGCTGGAGATGCCATCGGAGGGTCATGTCCAGGCCTCTCCCAGCTCCTCACCAAGAGGGACTGTCAGGTGGGTGTGCAGCCTCTTTCTCAGTTCCATCTCCACTTAAAAGCCAGCTGACAGCTTGGAAAGTGGAAGTTGGGGAAGTAAGTAGCGGCCTGTGGTAATGATACTTATTAAGCCAGCAGACTTGTCAGAGGATACAGATCTTGCTCAGCAAAGCATATTGAAGAGCATGGTTCAGTGAAGCCTCTTTACAGAAGCCCTTAGCAGTGAGATGCGGGTGAAATGCCAGAGCAGGGTGAGGGCTGGAGGGACCCACCTTACCAGACTGACCATCTTCCCTCCCATTTCATAGACAAGAGTCAGCCTGGGATCACATAGCTCACTAGAAGTGGAACCACAGCTGATTGGTAGCTCTCCTGAGCTGAAATCTGGGACTTTTCCACTGATACCTGGGTCTTTCCTTGAGTGACTACTCCCAGGTCTGAAAGAATACACACAGTGATTATAGTAACCCCTGCAGCTCATGATGAGCTCCCTCCATCCTCCATGGTAGATGTAGACCATTCACAGAGGCTTTGCAGCAGCCCCATTTCCCAAGGCTCAGCAGTGAAGCTCTTTGTTCAGAGTCGGTGTTCACATGTGGTGAGGCCCACAGTCACCTTGACGGACATGCAGTGAACACTAGCTACACTTGTGTGAGGACAGTTTCTTGTCTCACGAGTGAGAACCACCATGAATGCCAACTGAGCTATTCTGAGACAGACAGTAGCTCCCAATCTTAGTCATAGACTAATTAAATTGAGAATCTAATGAAAGATGTAGATCCTAGCTCTAGAAAAGTGCATACATGTGTAAAGTTTCTAGATATTTCTGAATCCTGCCCTTAAGATCCTGAACCAAGGGGCAACCAAGGACCAAGTGTTCTGGACGGTGGGGGGGGGGGGGGTTACTGTTGATAGTCTGATCGCCACCAAATCAGAATCTTTTTTTTTTTTTCTTAAACACTTTTTTTTTTTTTTAAAGTCCAGATGTGCATCAAAAAAAGAGAATAAGTAAATTGTGGACTTGGAGTGTTTATACATTGGGATATTATAAGCAAGGAGAATGGGCAAACTTCACACATGACAGTATAGGCGAGTCTCACAAACATAGCTTTGAATGAAAGAAGCTAGACACAAAGGAGTCCCACTGTAAGCTTCAATGTCCTGTAATAGGCACAGCTTGTCTGTGGTATTAGAAGTCAGGAGGGAGGATGACCCAGGGTGGACAGGAGCCATGCTTAGGTTAGGGCACAAGGGAACTTGAGGGTGGGTTATGTTCTGTGTCTTTATCTGGCTGATGGTGTGTCACTTGGTAGAAATTGAACAAATTATGCTTAGAATTGGTGCAGATTCAGATACTTCAGTAAAAGTGCTCTTACCGTACCAGGCCGTATCCGAGCACTTTCAGTGTTGCAGGGATGCTACATTGTCAGCGAAACCCTCACTCCCTTTCTGCTGGAGGGTCTGCCACTGTATTCATTTGACAGTGAGGAAACTGAGGCTCAAAAATGTGAGGCAACTTAAGCCTAAAGTCACACAGCATGAGTTTGTGTTGCCTACCCTCCAGCCCTGTCTGGCTCTGTAGCCACACTGTGCTGAACTGCTTTGTATACACTGCAGGTGACCACAACATGGCCTGCAGATACCTGTGCTCCAGGGCCATGCCCCTCCCTCAACAGCAACAACCAAGAATTACAGCCAGGTTGCATCTCTGAAGTAGGTGTTCTGAGCAGTCAGTTTCTAAATATTGTCTTGGTACAGAAGACGTTAGGTGGGGACAGAACCGACTAGAGTGTGTCCCTGTTAGCACCTGCCCTTTTTGTTCACCCAACATTGTGGGACATCATCAGGAAAACCTTAGGTATTATTGGAGAGGACATTCCCAAGGGGCTGAGGGAGAGAGTGGTTCAACACCAGCAGCATGATGAGTGCCCCAGCTCTCTGTTCTCAGGATGAAAAGCATCCTGCTGGCATGGGGTTCTTCAGTGAAATCTGTCACAAGCATCTTTGACATTGGAGCAAGGCTTGAGACAAGGTGGCTTCCCAGTTTTCTACAGCGACTGCCTGTGCCCTAGTTGGTCCCAGCAGCATCCTACTTCATCGTCTTTTTTTTTTTTTTTAAATACTTCAGACAGATTTCAAGAAAGGATAAAGAAAGATCTCCTCCTCCTCCCTTTGTAATAGCTAAGTTACCTTTAGGATTTTCATACCCAACATGGAGACTTTGGGGTCTTGAATAAATAAATGCAACAAACATGCAAACAGCTCTCAGGTGGCTCTAGGTTCAAGAGTGACAGTCACCACAAGAGGTGGGGTGAGCTGCTCGGGGAACCTAATCTCACTGCTGCCAAAAAGAATGTGTTCCTGAGTCTCACTTGTGCTCGTCTGCTGAGCAGTCATCCTCATCTGGGAGCAAGGCAGGGCAGTGGGGTGGCGTGAGTGGGCCCAAAGTCCTTGGCAGAAACCAGCAGGTTGATTAAAAAGTAGGGTTGGGGGTTAAAGACTAAATTTAGCCGAATATGTGGGAGTTGATTTAACAGATCAATGCCTTTCACCGTTTTGATTGTTCTGATTGAGCTCCAATGTACCAGCAAACTGGGAAGCACAGCTTTGTTGTTGATTTTTGTAATGATGAAAGCCTAGTGACAGTATATCCACTCCTTTGAAGGTCTTCCCCGCCTCACTTTATCTCGGGTTTCTCTGCCAAGGTGAATCTAAGCTGATAGAATTACAAACCAGCCAGGGAATACCTGAAGTGTGTATAAAGACACGCAGGAGTAGTCTAGCAGGGGTGGCCAGGGGAAAGCTCCCTTCCTTCAATTGGGAGTTTGGATGCTCCAGGGCGTACCTCTGTCTTGGGCCTTTGGTCCATTGTGTTTCACTGGTCACTCTTGGGCATGTTCTCTAACTTCTTTGTGCGTGGGAAAGAGTTAAGGGAGGGGTTGATCCAGTTCCTGTCGTATGTTACTTGCCTTTTTGCATTCAGGACCATAGCTGTCTTTAATTAACAGATGGAGTCTAGGTTTTATAGAATTTTACCCTCCATGGTTTTAAGGGCCAACGGTTTACCTCATTAACCAACAATGACCACGGGATGTGTCTGTCAATGCCTACCAGAGTGTCATGTTAGTAGGGAGTGACAGCACCCATTTGCAGGTGGCTTTACAGAGTTATCCCAGAGTGTCATGTGTCCTCCAGTCTGGTGACTTGCTTTGTCTTGTCCCCACCCCAGCAAACCCAGGGCACAAGTACCAAGACTTTTTTGTGTAAGAAGCATCATAAGGTGATGGTCTGGCTCCTGTGTTCACTCCTATCTTAAGCTACCCCAATTTCTATTCACCAGCCAGCTCGGCTCTTTTGTGACTCTGATATGACACCCTCTAATGAAGTTGCTTTCTGACTGCTGAGGATTGAGAGCTGCTACTGGGAAAGCAAGTCACTAATAGCATGGAAAACACTGTGAAATACTCCGAGATGGCACGCTGGGCCCAGCCCAATGTGGTTCTAAAAGGCTAATAAAAATCCACCAATTAATTGTGACAGCTCAATGGAAAATTATTCAATTGTGAACAGGGGCAAGCTGCAGCTCAAAAAGAGGAGGGGGGATGTTGCTATAGTAACATCAATATAAGTTCTCATCTCCGCAGCTGAAGTGAGCCGGGGTGTGAGCAGCATCAGACCGCGGCACCTGACATGGAATGGGATGTAGGAAACACCAAAGCTGAGTTTGAAAGGGCTGCTCTGCCTCGCTCCAGGCTGAGCTCAGGCTTATCCCAGGTGGTGAAGTTGTTTTTCAAATGCTGCTTGCTCTTAAGAAGTCCAGGCAAGGCACAGTCAAGTGGAGGAGAAAAATATACCCTGCATTGTGTTTCCCTCTACCTTTTGACCATGGGTATTTTACCAACTGCCAATTAAGGAGCTGCTGAGAGAGGTGTGTGGGTATATGCAGCACAATTTCCATCTCCCCAAAGTTAAGGCATTTGCAACTCAGGAAAATGAAGTTCCTAGGGCACTGAAGACTTGTAGTTAAAAGTCAAGAGAGCTTCCCATTATGGTTTTTGCAGTTGCTACAACTTTTATTTCAAAGGACAACACACAACACACTCCTATTTTGAACATTTGAAATGCAACCTTGCTGTAGCAAAAATGTATTCTTACTAGTTCTTCTCCCAGGGGACTTGGGCTTGGCAGACACCATAGCACATTGAAGGACAGTTACCATCACATGGGGATGGGCAGTCGGGTCAGAGTGGCATCTGGACTCCAGAGCATTGCTTTTCTTGCCAGAGGGACCTTGTGTTAATGGGATGGAAACAAGATTTTGTTGTTCATTTTTAACTTTCAGAACCATACTTTGTACCCAGTGGAATGTACTCATTCACAGCTGCATGTGGAAGTCAGCTACACAGATGTCCCTATGGAGACTGTCACAACTTTGATTACCCCACTATAATCACTCAGTCCACCTACCTTCAACATGGAGCCAGCACTGCCAGCTCTGCCTATTCATATTCATTGCCCAGCAGCATCCTCGATTCCTTGCCACTGGGACCAGGGGACTGCTTAGAATCAGACCACTAGGGGAAGGAGACATTTTCTTCTGAACCAGGATACAGCTTTCTTTGAGTCACTTTTGTGTCACCATCTGTTTTTGTTTAGCTTTAGCAAAGTTGCAAATGAAAAGTAAGCACTCACCTAACCAAATCTACTGCTAATGATCTGTGATGATAATACTGAAGTCTTTGAAGCTTAAAGAGCAGACTGGAGTGAAATGAGAAGGGCAAGAGTCCCAGGAGGATTCCCCAGACCCTTCACCGCCGGCCAAACCGGAAGCTGAAGCCACCTTTCTTCCTGTAACCATTGAGCTCTTCAGCCAGGTTTCCCAGTGGACCAGTGGCCTTCTCGCCATCAGCCGGGAGGAAGCTGGTAGCCTCACTGCCATCATCCTGCCTCCCAAACCGGAACCTGAAACTAGCACTCTCTTGGTCGGATGTCGGCAGCTCTTTGGCTATGATGAGCAGGGCCAGCGACTCAGGGGGAGCTCTTGGCTGCTGAGAGGAACCCCACGCGAAGTTAGGTCGGGACCCCTGGGTCAGGTCAGCCCAGCGCCTCTCAGCTCTGTCTGCTAAAGGAAAGCAGGCACCCAGCGGCAGCAGGAGGACGTAGGACAGGAAGCACGAACAAATCATCTGACCCAGAGGGAGAGAGAAGAGGAGGTTACAGGCTATACATGTGGGCCTTGTACAACAGCTTGTCAACAGCACCTCCCCAGGCCTGGGCAGCCATTGAGGTAGAAACTGGTGGCTCTGCTGAGCCTGATTCCAATCAGCATTAAGAAGTGTCACAGGTTGGGACCAGACCTTTATTTTCTTAGCAGGATCCAGAGCTGATTGCACCAATTAGGCTGGCTCTCACTCTCCTGAAATCCCCTGGATTTGACTGCCTTGGCAGCTTAGCACTATAATACCACAGCTGCCGGAATGGCTTACAGCCGTGCGCAGGCTGTCCCTGGGAGAGCCCAGTGAATTGGGGTTCATTTTTCTTTTATTATAATTATTGACTCTTGGGCCATATCATCTCAAAGCCATTGGGTAGAAAGTTAAAAGCATCAATCTCTCTTAGTTTTCAACCTGATAATAAACGGGTCTAGCTAAACTCTTTAGCTGGGATACTCTGCTCATGAGGCTACCATGAGAACAAGTTGCTCCTGACACCAGGAAACGGATTTGATGGGTTTGGCCTAACTCACAGAGAGGTGGCTGGCGGGGACGGGGTGGTGGTGTGGGAGCATGAGAAGACGGTGGACCATGTCTGAGCCAAAACCTATACATGTGTGGTTGTATAAACCTAATTTGTAATTACTGCTGCTCTTATTTTCTCAGGCATGAAAACTGTCAAAAAAACTAAGATTTTGCCCAGGTCACACAACTAGGAAGTGTGGGGTGCTGGGATTCATGATTCTAGTGTGGGGTGATTCTTGGTCCTTCAGACCTGTGAGAGATGCTTTCTGTATGAGGGGGCTATAAAAAATTCATGGAAAAATTCCATCATCTTGTAATTCCATATTCCACAAATTTTTGGAAGCCGCTCCTACATATCTGACCAATCTTACCAAAATCCTGGAGGAGGGGGTGTTAGATCCCCTACTGTACAGAGGAGGAATCCGGCTCGTAGAGAAGTGACTCGCTCAAGATCTCATAGCTTTACAGTGGCAGAGCTGGAATTCAAGGCCAAGCCTAATTGGGCTTGTCTGCAGGATGCTGTTCTAACGGCTCCACTGTGCCCTCTGCGGCTGCCTGTAAAGCGTCTGAAGCAGAAATAGTTTCCCAGAGTGCCCCTGCCTCAGCAGTAATTGCTGTCTTCTTCCGAAAAGGAAGCCTTTTTGGTACCAACCAGGAGTGGGTCAGAGCTGGTTTGTCCTCTGAGGAGTAGAACTGAGGCCAAAATAAAGAGCCAGTTCTGGAGAAGATGGCTCAGAATTCCCCAGAGCTCTGTCCAGAAATGGTTCCCTTGAAAACCTTTCAAAGAAGTGAACTCAGCCGGAAAGCTTTAAAAGTAAATATAAGTAGCTCTTCTCTCTACCCAAGCCCAGTCCCCCTCAGTTCCTCTCATCTCCCAGACTTGTGCTATAGGGAAAGTCTTCCCACCTGGGCAGAGTGCGAGGCCGCTGGGCTGCTCACCAGGTGGCCTGTGGAGGAGGACACCCTTTTCCCCCCACTCCTATGGTGGAGAGCACTCCATTTGGCGTGTTGTACCCAGATGAACGAACCTACCCTAGCTCTTGAGAAAGGAAAACAGAAAGAGGCCATCTCCCCATTTGGAGGGCCATGGACCCCTTTGAGAATCCGAAAGAAGCTAAGGACACTCAACACTGAAAATCGGGCTCCAACACAAGTTAAGGCTTCAGACCCCAAAGTCCACACGTGGTAGAAAAAGCACAGGACGGGGGTTCCAGCCGTGTGGGGACCAGTCTTCTGCACTTGCTCTGGGCACTTGGCATGATGAGGGCCTGGTCTCCATCTCTCTCGGCCTCTGCCCACCCACCCTCAGCTCCGGATCTAGACAGGGGCCGGAGCCAGAGTTCCCAGTAGGGACTCTGCACTCACCGTGCTGCTGGCCTTCTCCCCAGGTGGGATGGTGGATCTTTGGGCCCTGGGCCAGGCTGGGTGGAGCTGCTTTGGATTCTTGTCCAGGAAATGTGGTTCCTGGGTCCTCCCTGCTTTAAATAGGCCTTCTGAGTGTACTTGCCACTTGTGTGGCCTGATTGCTGCACATTCCAGACCCTGGGATTCCATTTGGGACATCTTGGTAAAGCTGGTAGTAGTGCTGATTGGGTTGATAAAAGACCCTGCACAAACAGGATGTGGTCTGATGAGGGACAGGTGGGGCTGCCCTTTCCCCAGCGGGCTGCCTTGTTTGGAGAAGATCGGCAACATCATTAACTATGAATCGCAGCTCTGGACCCTCGAATCTCTTGGAGGAGGCATTGATGCCCACCTCTAATAACCCTAATGAGCTTGCCTTTGTTGAGTACACCTCACTCCAGAGAAGATGGACATGTCTTGCATCCCTCCTGCCATTGAGCATGACCACGCTCCCTCTCATGCTCTGTGTTGATTTAAGCCAGCAATCACCACTCGCTAGTTTCTGTCTGTAATTAATAGATTTTATTTTAAAAACAATTTTAGATTTACAGAAGAATTGAGCAGCTCGTACAAAGAATTTCCTTATGCTCCCTCTCCTCACATACAGAGTTCTGTTAACATCTTGCACTGGTGTGGTCCATTGGCTACCATTGATGATGAGTTGTTATCAGTACATTATTATTAATTAAAGTTCATAGTTTGCATTGGAGTCCAGGTGGGGTGCTGTAGAATAAACACTAGACCACAAGGTCAGTTTGAACCACAAGGTTGACAATTCAAGCTCACCAGCAAGTCCTTGGTAACCCTATACAAGGGCACTTAACAGCAATAACAAACTAGTTTGCATTAGGATTCACTTTGAGTTGTAAAGTTCTGTGGGTTTTGACAAATGCATAATGGTGTACTTGAACTATAGTATCATCCATGATAGTTTACTCAGCCCCAACAAGCCCCTACCACACCTGTTTACTTTCTCACACCCCTCAGCCCCACAACCCCTGTCAACGTATAATTGCTTTACTATCTGTATATTTTTGCCTTTTCCAGAATGTCATATACAGGTAGTCCCCAACTTTTGACAGTGTTGTCATAATTTGGTTCTGATGAAAGTTAAATATCTTCTTTTTCAGTTTCATTATTGCCTTTATTCTTATTATTATAAATCCAATCTTTGAACATCTACAAGTGAACATCTGAGAATGATCACCAGTAAATTACAAATTACAAGCTGCAACATTGTGCAGTACATATTACTAATGATAAACTGTACCCCAGAAAAATCAAAACAGCAATTAGATGGAATCAGGATGTCTCTTCAGATTGACTTCTTTCACTTACCCATATGGATGCGTTTAAGATTCATGACTTCATAGCTCATTTCTTTTTATCACTGAATAATACTCCATTGTGTGGATGTACCAGAGTTTGTTTATCCATCTCACCATCTCATTAAAAGGGCACCTTCCTTGCTTCCAGTGTCTGTCAATTACGAATAGAGTTGTGCTGAAGTGTTGTTTGGGGACATATTTCATCTGCTCAGGAGCCTAATGAGAAGCATTTGTCACCGAACGGCTGACCCAGGCAGTGAGACACCTGCTTTTTGTGGCAGTGGGGCATGGAGCCATTGGCCAGAGCCAAGTCTGCTGGGGAGTGATGACTTCACCTCCCCCAGCTGGGATACATCAGGCAATGAGCACAGTGCTGGGTGGGAGGTGGGAAGAACTTGGTGGTGATGATTATACACAAGCACCTCTCAGGGCCCACAGCATAAGTTCACACTGTTAACAATAGAATTGTCAACATCTCCCATTGGTGGTACATTTGCTACAATTGATGAGCCTGTATGGATACATTTTTATTAACTAAAATCCATAGTTCACATTAGGATTCACTCTGTGTTGTACAGTTCTGTGGGTTTTGTCAAATGTATAATGTCTTGCTTCCAGGTGCTCTCAGGCAAGTTCACTGGCCAGGGTGGGGAGTGATGCATGTTTTTACCTGCTCCATGTCTCCACAGATGAGTATGGAGCTCAAGAGGACTGAGTTGTGCAGCCCCTAACTGTCATGGAGACAACCCTTGGGAAGCTGTCTGTGGGTCTTCCTCCAGTTCTCCTGACAGCCCAGGGCAGGGCTTCAGGCCACCCATCTTGCAGAAGTTTCAAGGTGCTCTGCCCATGATATACTTCATGCAGTCTGATGTGTCCTCTGTCTGCCCTGTGTGTAGTCCTAGGGGCATCCCTGGGTGCCCTCTGCAGAGGGACCTGCAAGGCAGAAGTCCCGGATGTGGTTGGGCATCCAGGAGGCACCCCTAGCCACCCCCCTTCCTGTCACTCAGCCTGGTGTCCTGAGTTGTGTCAGGGACGTGTCTGTGGGAGACCAGTGTGAGGTGCCAAGAAGGCAAATGCCTGGCTTGTACAGCAGGACCACTTCCTCCACCCCAGCCTCAGCTGTTCTTCCCTGCTTCTCACCTGGCCTGGCTTTTCCTCCACTGAGGAGCAAGCCACAGGGCGGTCAGGTGCTGTGAGACTGCAGCGGGGGCCCAGCTGACCTGCCCCCTGAATCCTGTGGTGGCCTCCACTCAGGAACAGAGAAAGCTTCGAGGACACCTTTTCCTCTCTCAGTGATCACAGGAAGCAAGCTGGAATTTTTATTTCCTTCTATATGGGGGAACCCGGCTCAAAAGGCTAAAACCTGGCAGGTCAGAAGTAGGCCCAATGCCCACTTCTAACGAAGTGTGTGAGTGTTTTTTGTCCCAGGCTGTTTCCCCTTGACTCTGCCTGAAGAGAGCAGGGGGGTCAGGGAAAGGACAGATTTGGGACTTCTTCCTTGGGTAACACTCTGGGTTCTTTTTGGGGGTGGGGGTGGTCTGCCTTGGCAGAGTGTATGCTTGTCTGCCAAGTGCAGGAAAAGCCAAAACCATTCTGGCCAGAACCCACCTCCATCACTGCAGCTGGGCCTGCCGCTCCTCCCAGCTCCGTTTTCTCTCAGCCCTGTGTGTGAGCATCACATGGTCTGTTGGTTCATTTGTGCACAAGGGTACATGGTATCATGTTTTCTCCATAGTTAGTTAGCCAGGGGATGCAGCCAGCAGTAGTTCACTAACACACTGCAAGGCCTTGGACCCTCTTCTGCCTCTGAGGTTCCGAGCTGTGTTCTGCAGAATTCCTCTGGTTATGGATGGGGAGGGAAGGTGAGGGGGTCAAACCCCGAGGGCCTCCACTTGCCTCTGTTGGACAAACATTGGGTTCCAAGAAAAGATTTTACTGGGCAAACAGCCCTGACCCAGGTCACAGGGCCATCTTTCCAAACAGGCCTGGGGCTTTGGGAAGTGGTCACAGACAGTCCCAAGTATTGGGTACTGGTCTGGAATGGGGACTGAGCCACATGAGGCCCCTCGTGGGTGAGGCCCCTGTCATGCGCTTCACATGACCCTCTGGGTAGTGGTGACTGAAACCACACAGATGCTTGAGTTGGTGCCAAACTTCCTGATTCTACACACACATTTGACCTGAGAGATTGTTTTCAGATGCATTTCCTTTGATTCTGTAAGCCTCTTCCCCTGACCCAGGGAATGAACCCCCAACTAGTGAACAGCAGGAGAGGTGAGAACTCACCACTACTTCTGCCACCCTGAGACACTGAGTCTCTAGCAGCTGCTGATGGGCAAGTCTGGGTTCCAGGAAGTTCAGGGGCAATCAGGACTGTGTTAGAGTGGCAAGGGCCCACTTCCAACAAAAAGGTCTTTCATGCTACCAAGGGAAACCCCGGGGGAGGCCCCAGGCCTGTGCAAGAAGGGGATCTAGTGTTGTCCTCCCTGGAGACTAGTTCCAAGATGTCCAAACTGCCTGGAGATCCATCCTCTTCTTGTCCAGGAGTGGGAGCAGGAAGTTGACATCAAGGGCAGGGCTTGTCAGGTTGACCCAGCCTGGCTGTGTTAAGCTCCAGACAACTGGGTTCCACTCCCGGCTCAGCCATGTACCTGCTGCAACCTTGGAAGAGTCCCTCCACTTTGAACTCTGCTCTTCTACCTGTGGTTGGGGTGACAGCAGTGCCCCCCTCAGCAGAAGTGTGAGGCTTGAGTAAGCTTCCGAGGGAACCAGAGATGAGGTGGGCATGTGGGCTGTATTCAGTCACTGCATGCTGTTGCTACTGCTAACGAGAGCACAGACAGCCCTTCACACCAAGCCACCAGCCTCTTGGGGTCTTTAGCAACTGACATTCCTTCTCTGCGCTGCCTCCGGAAATTTCTTCCCATGCTATAGTATACATTGTGGCTAAAATGCTAAACACCCCTGAGAGGGATGGCCCTGTCAGCTCTAGCAATCTGTGTCATCGAGTTTATTGAATCTTCTCAATGGACCCTGAAGCAGAGGTGGGGAAGGTCTGGTGAGATCAGGGGTGGACTGCCCTCATCCTTGGTGGGGGAGGCATGGGGCTAGTGGCAGTGAGCACCTCAGTGAGTCCTGTACCTGCCCCACCAGGCTCTGTGAGCCCTATAAGAAGCTGGCAGGGAAACAGGCAGCCTGCTCGGCCTAGGTGGGGAAGTCAGAAAGGGTTACATGTCAGCCATCTCCTGTGGTTCAGCTAAACCCTATCCAGGCAGAGGCACTTTGCCAAGAGTGGCGTGGGAGTGGGCTCTGCCCACAGACAGGATCCTGGGCTGCAGCTGCTTGAGAGGATCCTTGCTGTCATATGGAGATAGAGTGTGTGTGTTGTGGGGGTGGGGGGGAGCACGGCTGCTGAGATGGATGGAAGTAAGAGCCCAGTTAGCAGGGGAGTTGCCCAGGTGAGAGAGGAGGGACCTGGACAAGGTTGCTGGTTAGAGGTGGGGATGAGGCAGAGTTCAGAGCTAATGAGAAGTGTGAATATTGGATATGGTGGTGGGTGGGAGGAGAGAGGACCCCATAAAGCTAGGAAAACAGCAGGAGCAAACAAATATAGTGGAAGCAGAGGAAGCTTCTGGCGCCTGCAAGGGGTGACAGAGGCAGGACATGTTGGGGAGGGGCCGTCTTAGAGTGGGGGACCCAATGTTGGGTGGCATGTTGCACATGCAGCAGCAGGTCTTGACAAAGGACCGGGAGATGGGGTGGTATGATTGTTCGTCACTCCCTGCTCTGGTCTCTCCCCTCCACACTGTGAGTTCTGTGAGGTCAAGTGTGTCTGGTAGATGCTGGATGAAGCGAACACAATGCTCACTTCCTGACAGAACAGTAAACGCATGTCTGCCCGAGTGACACTCCACACATTTTTACCAAGAGCACTTTTGGAGGGGAAGAGATAGTGGGATTAACGTTCTCTGAACCTGGATTTGGAAACCATTGTTCTTGGTGCTTGAAATCTCTTATAGCTCAGATTGAGGCCTCGCTGCCATAGCAGGGGCGGGTGTGAAGCACCAGCTTGTGTTCCCCAATCAGGTGTGGGGGTTGAGGCCTGGTCACCAAGACTGCGGTCAGACAGAGCTCATGACACTCATGACGAGGGTTTTTCCCACCAGCCCTGCACAGGGCCTCCAATATGGCACTCGATAAATACTGGATTCCATTAAATAAACTCAGGGGATTGTTTGGTCCTTAAGTCTCCAATTGGTTTTATGAATAAATAGCCATTAGGGACTGTTAGTTCTTAATGAAGAATCTTAACTCCTCAGAACTCTTCCTAGTTGTAAGAGAGAGCCACAGGGACTGGTTTATCACCCAGGGACTGGTCAGATGCACAGAAGCCTAGGCCAGAAGGATTTGCCCTGTGTTAATGTGGCTAGTGTAGAAGGCTGACCTCACTGTCACCTGACCTGAGAGGCCCCTGAACTACCAGCCAGGTCTGGGCACCATCTCTCTTTATGAAACCCGGAGGCTCAGCCAGAGGGTTCTGGGCAGCTAACGAGGATGGAGAACTATCCCCAGAAAAAGTGGTTTGGATGCTGTAATAAAGTTTCTGAGAGGTGGAAGTCTGGGGATACTACAGTCTGGCTGAACCTGGGCTCTCACGTGGATGCAGGACAGGCTCAGAGGCAGTGGCCAGGCCACCACTAGACTTTACTGGAGACAAGAGCACATAAAATATGAGCACACACAGCTTAGACCAAGTGCAGTTCATGCCAGACCCATCTGTTCATCTGTCCACCAGGGCCTCAGATGCTGTGCTGGCCCTGGAACTCACTCACCAGCATGGGGCCCCCATACACTAGCCCACTTTGTGTGACCAGGCCCAGATGCACTCAAGAATACCTTGGTAAACAGAAGGCTGATGTAACCAGAGCCCCATCCCGCGGGAGGTCAGATCTCTGCTCTGGAGTTAACTGAGTGCTACCAGCTGCTTGGTGCACTCAGGGCTTGGGAGCAACCTCTCCCTACAAGTAGATGAGGAAACAGACCCCAGTCACCTGGGTGTGTGTCCTGTGGTGGCATCCTGCCTGCTCGCTATACCCCAAACTCCACAGGACAGAGCTCTGTGACTGGGTGTCAGTCTTGCTCATATGCTCCCTGCCCGCCCATTTCCTGGCCAGGGTTCCTAGCCACCTCTTATCCTCCTCCCGGGACCAGGCTTGAGTGAGTGAGCAGATTCAGGCTGTGGTTTCATGTTCTCACTAATCCTCCAAATCTCTACCTGTTCAGAGACGGGCCCCAGGGTGACAGGGCCTCGTACTCCCAGCTCCCAGACAACCAGAGGGCCTGCCTGGGCAAGGGTGGGTGCAGCAAGGGGACCAGAAAGAGCTGTAACATTGCTTCTACCCTGAAGAAAATCATCATAAAATTTGCATTCGGCTTCAGGAGAAAACCCCAATTTGAGAGCTGCTCACAGCTCTGCCCTTATCTCTCTTACTGACAACACCAGCAAAAAAATCAAGGGTCCCTCTACCCTCTGTATGCGGAGCTCAGCAACTTGCTGATGGCCTTTGGTTCAACTCTGAGAGGCACTCTGTTTGGTGGCAGGGATGAGGTCACTGGCTGGTCCCAAAGAACATAACTATCTATGCTTGTCAAGAAGTACCAGAAACTAAAAAAGAGTAATGTGATACAATTTGATGAACTTGACCTACACCTATGGATGCAGTAGCTCAAAAGAGGGAACAAATACAGCAAGGATCATTCCCACTCTCTCCATACACAGGGTTGACAGGGATGTGTAACTTGGACATTGGCTATCCAAAGTGGGGGGGGGGGGGCGCTACAAAGTCAAGTAGCGACTGGCTTACAAGCTTTCAAGAGGGAGCCTAGATCCAGAAGGTAGAATCTCCAATGAGTAGTATCCAGTCTGTCTAGGCAAGGCTGATGAAAGGAAATGTGGATAGGTCTCTTGTGATACAATAGTGAATAATTATTATCAGGACTGATTGTGAGGGTTGGAAATGGAAAGGTAGATGTTTTGTAGCAAGGAGGGGAGTGATTGACTTTGCAGTCTAGGAGCAGAGGTCCCTGGGACCATCAAGGGAGAAGAGTGGAGAGCAGGACCGTACCCAGAGAAGCAGTGATGCCAGAGACGGAGGCAGAGACGATGACGTGGAGAGATGGAGCAGTTGGGGACTTTAGACCTAGAGAGGGAGAGGGACTGTGTGCTGAGGACTGGGGGGCAGGCTTATAGTGTATACCCTTTGTTTGGTTGATGATGCATGGAGGGGATTGTAACCATGGCAATGAAACATAGGGTGAATATAAAGCTAATGTTCTCCCATGTAAACTATCATAACTCACAATAAAACATTAAAAAAAAAAAAAAGTTCCAGAAACTCTGGCGAGGGGGCTAAGTGCATTGTCTCAAGATCTCAGTACGGAGACATCTCCTCCCCCAACGTAGCATACTCTCCACATTAGTGGAAGAGGGAAAGTAGGTGAGGAGACTTGGTCATGGACCACAGTTGCCCATCATCAAATGTCAAATTGGACCCAGCAAGACGGGGTTGGGGGACAATGACAGTAGATCCCTGGTGAGCACTGGCAAGCGCTGGTATCTTGATCTGATCACCAGTACTCATCCCTCCAGGATCAGTAGAGCTGCCCTCTCCCTGGTTCTCCTAGAATCTTCTTCCTGGTTGTCTGAGGATGGAGGCAGCAGTGGGTCACTCAGTAAACCACGGGGAAGCCCTGGGCCCTCTCTGTGTCTTAGTTTCCTCAGTGGTGAAATGAGAGGTTGGCTCCCAAGCTGTGATCTGCAGAATTCCTATGTTCAGCGGTGTCTCAGGTGATGGCCTTTTGTGTTGACCACAACTCCATGAGGCCAGACCCTTCCCAGCCCAGAGCAGGTGTGTGGTGAACATTTGTCTCAGCACCAGCCCTGGAAAGGATTGCCCTTTAGGAAGATAGCAGGGGTAGGGGTTCTCTGGTCTTGTCTTTCCCCACCACAAAGTTGGGGGATATGTCCATCCAGTCAGAACTGGGTAGGTGAGCTGTAGTGCCAATCCTGAGCTGGGAGTAGGGCTGATGTTCTAGGCCAGTAATGGAACTCTGGAAGGAATGGGTATCCAGTGTGTCTGGAACTTGCGGACACATGGTGCCTGGACTTGGATCACAGGCTCCTACAGGCCACCCCCACGTCCCTCTGCCAAGCCTTGAGCTACAGCTTGTCTATTCCACAGCCAAGTCCTGGCACGGCCACTTTGTGCCTCCTGATGTACACGCATTTCTGTGGAGCCTTTAGCATCACACTCACTGGGGGTTTGTTTGATGACAGATCAGAAAACGCTTAGCACTTCCTAAACAGCACCTGGCACTACAAGGCTTGCAGCAGCGGACCGATCCAACCCAGGGCCGGAGGCGGAGCAGTTTCAAGGGGTGAGAACTTGGGGGTTCACTCCATCTCTGCTATAGTGAGAGGGGGCAGCAGCCAGGCTGGGCCACATCTCTTGATTTCTAGAGGAAGAAGGAAGGGCCAGAGGATGGGGATTTCATAAGAGCCTATGTGGTCCTTCTGCTCACACCTTCCCCTACTCTCCCCCTACCCCCAGCCCCTGGTCTGTTCTCCCTTCTCCCAGTTGGTCACACTGGACTGTCACTGCCTGTTTCTTGGTCATCTCTGCCTCCAGTTGCATGTGCCAAGAGGGCAGGGACTTGTCTTGTCTATCACCCAGGGCAGTGTTCAACATAGCACTTGTCGATCAAGCATTTGGTAAATACTGGTGACCAGTGTAGGGCTGGAGGAAGCTGCCCAGGTCACATGACAAGACAGGGACACCCTGGCTTTTCCTGCCACCTTTGGCCAACTCTGATTTATTATTACTCAAGTGCAAACTTTGGTGGGAGGGCACAGAGAGCTGGCCTACCTGCCACAGCCCCCACCTACCTGCCTGTAGGTGTAGTGGCCCCTCTTCTGCCTTTAGAGGACAGTGGTCCCTCTCCTGCCTTCAGAGGAGTCAGCTGGTGCTGTCCATCAGTGAGGTCCCTGCCCCTCCCTTACATCAGGGCCCCACAAACCAGAACTTGGAAAAACAGTCGTGTTTGGCTCAGGGACCCAAGGTTGCTGGGCAGGCAGTTAAAGGTGGGGGTCCTGGACTAAGACCTGGGTCCCAGTCCTACCTTTTTTGGTGACCTGTGGCTCCCCCTTGGACCCTTTGCTTCCTACCTATGTGAGGGCACTGGCATTGTAATGGGTTTAGCATTAAACTACTAATAATATCAAGGGTTCAAACCCACCAGCTGTTCCTCAGGAGAAAGCAGAGGCTTTCTGCTCTCATAAAGATTTACAGCCTCGGAAATCCCATAGAGCAGTTCTACTAATAGTGCGTCAGAATTGAACCTACCACCGCCGGGTATGTGGGAGTACGGGGGCAATCAGTAATAGTACCTCGGGTGTTGGAAGGGTTCAGTGAGGAAATGTCTCTGAAGAACTTAGCTTGATTGGTGACTCAGTCCCCCCACTTCCCCTGCCCCATTTTCCAGTGGGGCCCTCCTTTCCCTCTGTACCTCAGCCCGAGCGTGCCAAAGGTGTCAGTGCAGTGATCACAGCCACCAGCAGGGGGCGACCTCCTCGCAGACGGAGGCATCTGGGGACAGATGGGGTGGCAACCAACAAATCCCTCCAGGCCTAGGTCTGACTCACAGAGGCCCTAGAATTCTGGATTCTCTCTAATGTGGTGGTGCATGTCCTGTCCCAGCTTCGAAAATCCAGAGACGCTCAATGATTCAGGAGTAAACAGTACGGGGTCGACTTCCCTGTACCCCAGGCAGGAGGAAGGTGGAGGCTGGGCAGGAGCTGACTTGGAGCTCAGTTGATCTGGACGGGTGGGGTAGGCATAATACCCAACGAGACTGAAGATTTCCCAGGCCTGTAGGACACAGGGGTAAGGTGTGGGTGGATGTGGTGGGAGCAGGCTTCTGGATCTGCTCCCCGCAGGCATTGTACCCCAGCCTGGCTTTAGAGGCATGGTGGAACATGGCAGCCCCCAACACCAGTCACTCAGAGGTCCTCTAAAGAGAATGGGAACTCCAGGCACCATGGAAACCCGGGGCGTGAAGGTCAAAACCTTAGCGAGGCTAAGAGTCCCCCTTCTGATCTGCTAGAGGGAATCCATGGGTTATGGGCACCCCTACTCTCTGCACCCCTATAATGTTGAGTGTGGGGGCTGGCCAAGTGGAGGCACAGACAGGGTACCGGCCAGAGCCCGGGTGTGTGTGCAGACTCATCTGTCCTGATCAGGAGATGGCAGACACTTCGCACAGGACTCAAAATCTGGGCAGATAGAAATTTTCATCAAGTTTGCCTCCCATGAACAGAGGCAAGAGATATTTGTTGCCAAATTACTGGGTGGAGGCAATGATAAGGCGATGTATGACCTCATCCGCCCAGGGGGCTTAGTGTGGGAGGAGGGCTGGGCTGGCCCACCCAGACTGGCGGGCTGGTCATGGATGCAAGGGCTGAAGAACAGACAAGCAGGAGGGGGTGGGCGGGGCAGAGAGGGGCGGGGCTTGAAGGGGGTGGGTCTAGCTGTCCTCCCGGACCGGCCGGATCTTCATTTCGGAGAACTTGAGCGAATATTGCCAGCCGGTCCAGGAAGACCACTCGATACCATCAGCGTAGGAGGCGTGAGCGCCACGCAGGTACTGCCCATTGAGGTTGGATGTGTGGCAATTGCGGTACCACCAGGCGCCACGGTAGAAGGCAGCGCAGTTGTTCTCTGAGTGGTCACTGTCTCGGTCCTTGGTGGTAAACCTCATGCCGCTGTGCTTCAAGAGGGAGTCACCTGTACAGGCAGGCATACACGCGTGTGTTCACACGGGATACATGCGTACACATGCAAGCACAGCCACATGAGTGCATTCTCACGTTATATTGAGCATAAACACACAAGTCAGGTGTGTGTACATACACTGTCTATGCACACTGGTACACACATGTACACTCACACCCAGGTGTGTTCATGTAAGTTCACATGTACCGATGGTATCCTAATGGAGCTCCTGCATATAGGCCACATGTCTCCCTCCTAACTCACGATTTCCTGAGAAAAACCCCAGTCCAAAAGGTTGAGCCACTGTACTTTAGAGACTCCTGATTCCTGGCCTTGGGCTCAGCTTTCTCATCTGCAAAATGGTTGAACAATCCTGGCTCTGCTGGCTTCATACCTCTGCTAAGGTGTGGAGGCCAGAAGGCAGAGATGCTTGGTCCAGTGGGAGGGACCTCCTTGGACTTTCCACGTGCTGTACCCCTAGCCCTTCACCATTCCCTGTTGCAGCCTGGACCCTTACCTGCAGTACCCGAGTATTCAGCCACAGTTAGTGGGTACCCATCTTCCTCAGGGTCCACAGAGAACAAGCCCACGCCAAAGCTCCCATAGTGGGCATAGGCCGTGCTGTTGTCAAAGTCCTGCAGGTCCACGTGCAGCTCATAAGCAGCCTGTGTGGTCAGGGCATGGATCCTTTTGAGCCCTGGAGCAGGGGAAGAATGGTGGGAGAAGTTGAGGGGGCTCATAAAGTGGTGGTTGGTGAACAACCATCGGTGTGTGTGTTTGATCCGAGCTACTTCCTTCTTTCTGCAGGTTTGTGTTTAGCAGAAAACAGGACTGACACTTGGCAGTATCTGACTTTCTCGATTGTCTTTGATTGCACTATGCTTTTCAAACACAGGGGCCTTGAGCTGAATGCTAGTGGAAAGATTGCAGGAGTCTGGGAGAGTCTGGGGATTCTTCTGCCTTGGAAGCGATGGACCCACACTCCCTCAGACTCTGCTCTAGCCAGACCAGGTGTGGTACTTGCGCTTCCCTGAACCTGGCTTTGAACCTTTGCATACTGTTCCCTCTGCCTGAGACACTTCCTCACCACCTGCCTACTTCCTGCTCAGTTTTCAGGTCTTACCTCCTTAGGAAGACCACCAACTCTTTGCCAGCCCAGGCACCCCCTTTTTGGTGTTTATCACTCTGTGTGCCCCAGCTGCCTATTTCCTTGTCTGTCCACCCTCCAGGGTGGATACTCTGTAAGAGTAGTGTGTCTGTGCTATGTTGCTAATGGGTTAGGACTCAGCACATAACAACAAAAATCCCAACTCACTGCTGTTGTGTTGACCATAGCCGCCCTACAGGACAGAGCAGAACTGCTCCATAGGGTTTAAGAGACTGTAAATCTTCAAGGGGCAGACAGTCTCATCTTTCTCCTTTGGTTTAGACCACTGATCTTGCAGTTAGCAGCCCAACACCTTGCTACCAGGCCTTTAGCACATAATAGCTCAATAAATGCTTCTTGGCTTAGTGCAGGGGTGGGGAACCTTTTTTCTGTCAAGGGCTAGTTGGATATTTATAAAATCTATTCATGGGCCATACAAAATTATCAACTTAAAAATTATCCTGCTATATTTGATCAAACATTTAATTAACTCACCCCTAATGTGATGGCTGAAACTGCAGTTCCCTTGGCAGGGCCAGACCAAATGATTCACAGGCCTTCCCTTGGGCCAGACTCTCCCCAGCCCTGGCTTAGTGGAAGAGAGGTGGAAAGTTTCTCCTACTCTTTCCAGGGCCTATCTGCACTCCCACCCCTACCTACCAAGTCTCGGTGATTCCGTACACATCCTAAGGGTCTCAGTTGCCCCCCTCCAACACATACACACATATACACACACTCCAGGTACTTCCCTGCCGATCTGATTACTCTTGATTAAGAGGGCACTTAATTACACGCCTTACGAGTTAGCATCAGCGAGTGACATTTCATCAGCCTTTCCAAGCTCCAAGTCCCCTGTGGGTCAGAGTGTGTATCCCCAAGGGGCATGAAGGTAGCGTGCACCTATCTCCATCCAGACCTTGAGGGAAGTCTTCATTTGGTCTCAGATTCCAGGTCCAGTAAGGCAGTAACAACTGCAGCCAGTACTCTCCTGGCACTGACCCAGACTCCTCACCTAGCATCTGGCCAGGAAGTGAGAACAGGACCCTGGAGAACAGACCGGTCTCACCAAGGTCTCCATCTCCTTCTTTTTCCTGCACCACTCTCTGGGCTGGAATCTCAGGGCAAGCTGATCTCCCTCTCTGGTCCCAGTTTGTACACCTGTAGGGTGGTCCTCACAGGGCTGAAGGGGGGGATAGATGGGAAGGGCCAGAGGGCATCTTTCCAGACTGTAAGGATGAAAGGGTATAAGGATCACAACCACCACTACCTGGACGACCCTTAGAATGGCCAGGCACTGTGCTGAGTGCTTCATGCCGATTAATTAATCAAAGTGAATTAGAATGAGTCAAATTTAATTAAGAATCCTGTACAGCTCTTAGAACCGTGTTTGGCCATCACACATGTGATCCTAGTGTTTGCTGCTGCTGTCATTATGATATGATATGATGAGGCAGGTACTACATTGCCCCTACTTTACCGTGTGGAAACTGAGGCACAGAGACGTTAAGTAACCAGCCCAGGTCACACAGTTGGTAAATGATAGAATGTGGATTTGAATTCAGGTGGAATGGAAAGTACAAGCTCAGGACAGCTCATACTGAATTTATATACAGGGCAAATGATATCCAGGAATAGGACAGGAAGAAGACCCACCTAAAGAGGGTCTGGAAGCCTCTTCTCCCCACCACTAAGTAAGTGGTGGCTGGTGCCCAAAGGCCCACCATCTGGGTTAGCCTCCCAGTCTCTATGAGGGGCTGCCAGGCTGTGTCCCTGAGGGAAGGGCAGGATGAGGTTCTTTCTGTTTCGAGGCTCACTCTTATGTCCACCCTTCCTTCAATCATTACTGATCTGACAGGATTACTTCTCCCCCACCACCCCGGTGTTAACTGCTTTTCCACACTACCCTGGGCCCCTGGAGACTGGGCTGAGAGCTGCCTCCACCCTCCCTGGGAGTTCAAATCACAGAATGGGATGGATAAGTGGGCTGATGAAGACAGAAAGGAAAACACTTAGACTCGTAGTATTCTTCACACCATCACCCCAATGAACTTTCCAATGAATTAAAAGAGCTGAACCTAAAACAGAAAACTACAAAACAATAAGAAGAAACTACAGGGGATAGTTAAAATAAAATGGGTAAAGGGAAAGAGTTGAAAACCCAGAAGATAGGAACAAAAAAAAAAGGGCAAATAGACTATATAAAAACTTAAACCTTCTAGGAAATAAGGAATAACATGACCAAAAACAAGGTGAAAGATGAATGACTGGGAGTACCTATGCATCAAGTGTTATCAGACAGAAGATCAATAACCTTAATATATAAAGAGCTCCGATAACTCAATAGGAAAAGACAAGGCATTCAGTGGGAAGGTAGCAGGGGAGCGTGGAAAGCAGAAGGGAAGTCTCAGGAAGTGGAAGGGCTGGTCCCCAAGTTGACATTCTTGTCAGGGCTCCCCTTTCGGCAGCGCCTGCCAGGAACTAATCAAGGCCCCGCTTAAATGCTTCCTCCCGCACCTTCTGTGGCTGCTGATAGATTTCAATTAAGATGCCAAGGAGTAGCAGAGACACCACCACCGCTCTTCCAAAGGAGTGGGTGGCAATGTGGGACTGGGGCCCCCACCTGTCTGCCTGTCTTTTTGCACTCACCTAGTAGGGGTAGGGGAAATAATATCCCCTCTGGAGAGACTTTTCTCTCTCACCACCCACCTCTCCCTGGGTTTTCATTCCTTCAGTACAGAGTGAAAGCTGGGCTCAGATGTGTGAACCCTATGCAAAGTCCCCCCACCCCAACACAAGTGCACACATACAGGCACAAATATGCATGTGTATGCACACTCATGTACATACACACTATCGGTACAACACACACATCCGTATATGTCACACACCCATACCCAGAGACACAAGCATAGCACTCACACATACCCACATGGATACACACCTATATTCCCACACACAAATATACACACGAACACACACACACGTTCTGAGCCTCAGTTTCCTCATCTGTGAAGGGGGAACAATAGCAGTGCATCCCTACCAGGGTGGGGGTGAGGTTTGGGGGAGTACGACGCTGGGCTCAAGAGTAGTAGGTCCACAGTGGAGGTCAGGGCAGAGAGGACCTGCCCTCAAGAACCCCAGGTAAGGGAAGATGGGCATTAAGCAAATGACAACACAAATCCCTACTCCTGGTGTTTCCTGGTTACCACAGTAGTCTCTGCCCCTCCCTCTCCCTCCCCAGAGAACTTTCCAGATATCCATGTGGGGAAGGGAGAGGGTGGGCTGGGAGATGCATCCCAGGGCATGGGGGCGAGCCAGATGATACTCCAATGAACATTCCATTCCTGTGTGTTTATTTAAAAATATATAAATGGCAGGTAACTGATACTCTAGAATAAGTGACAGTGGTGTATGGTCTCACTGTGTACTAAAACCCCTGAATGGCATTCGTAAATGAACTATTTGGTATGTGAGTCCCTTCACCAACAATCCACCTCACTGTAACCCACAACCTCCCCTCTCTCCAATATCTAGAACTAGAACCTCAGACTGCTGATTTTTTTTTTTTTTTTTTTGAGGCTATTCTTGTTTAGAATGAAATTATATATGGCATTTAAATGTTTCAATACTGAGCTAATTTAAAGATAAACATTAAGTAAATAATAGTAATAATACTACTCATGTCACTTTCTGAAACTGGCATTGTTTGGTGCCAGGCACAGACTGTATGCTTGGCTGTGGGGACAGCATGTGGATGTGCAGGCAGACTGAGTCTGGAACCACGTGAGAACACCTCCGGGGCCCTCTGTTGTGTGCTCTGCCCTTAGTGTCCTTTGGGAAGTCACTGGGCATTGCACACTCTCCTAAGTTCAGGTCCTGCTCCCTAGTAGGGCCCCCTTGGGGACAGGGCAGCTGGGTCAGCAGGGGTCTTCAGGTGGTAGGAAGGTGCCCTGCACCTGTCCACAGCCTACTCAGTCCAGAAGAGTGAGCCATTCCAGGGTATGGTAACAGTCAGAGGTTCCCTTGCTTTCTACTTCAGGTCACTCCGGCATCTCCTGCCTGTGGGACCCTCACATGCTCAACTTCCTTCCACGGATCACATCTTCACTGGCCACGTTAGAGGGTGTGTGGGACAAGAGCCATGGTGGTTAATCATTGGCTGCTAATTGCAAGGTCGACGGTTCAAACCCACCAGCTGCTCAACTGGATAAAGATTTAGTCTTGGAAGCCCAAAGAAGCCCTGTAGGGTTGCGGGGTTGGAATCGACTCAATGACAGTGAGATTGGGATGCTTATTTATACTCTCATCTTCCTTCCCCCATTCTCACCTCCACTGGACACAGCAGGGGGGTGCACGACCCTCACCCCACATGCATGTTCATGAGCACACGTCTCCCATGAGCACATCCCACACCAGTCGCATTGCCTTGGGCTTCATTCTCATTGACTTCAATTCACAGCGAACTTAGTTCTTACTTGTACACACAGCACACCTGAGCTGACTCAAGAATGCTGAGGCTAGGGAAATGCAGGGCACAGTGCTGAGGGACGGCTCTCAGTGGAACAGAAAGGCTCCCGTTCCCTTCACCTGCCGGCTACACAGGGAGAAGGGAGCTCCCAGGCTCTCACCTAACCAGTGCTCCCCCGTGAGCTTGCCAAAGCCGTCCCGGTATGCCTCCCAGCCACGGAAGAAGTTCACCGAGCCATCCTCCCGGCGCTGAAATACCTGTATGGGGGGCAAGATGCAGAAGGCAGGGTTTTGATAACCATCCTAAGAATCCCAGCCCCTATTCTGCCCCATGCTCTGCTCCCCACTCAGTCCCAGGCTGGGTGTCACACAGGGCCTCAGCCAGAGCAGGGCCTCAGGAGCCTGTGGGTGCCCCAGGTGAGCAGGTCTCTGGAATGTCCTCTCAGGAAGGAACCCCTTTGCTGCCGCACTGTGGGACCCTGGGTGGGTCTCACCCCAGCTCTGGACCTCCGTTTCCCTGTTGGTAAAATAGGTGGAGAATAGGGGTGGGCAAGAAATCCGTGTGCCTTTTTTCCTGGTCAAAACAAAACTGAATAGGAACCCATTCTTGAGGTTTTAAAGAACTGAAAAGATCCCCTTGGATTTGGCCTCCAGAGCTCCATCCCCTAGTACATCCACAAGCATCATAAAGCCACCCCCAAAAAAAAATTAAAAGAAAGGTCTGGGCAAAAGAATTGGTGGGAGCTTGGGAAAACAGAGTCCAGCCACCTCTCTGGGGAAGAAGAAGGCGTCCGCAGCCCGGTTGGGGTGTGACTCGGATACCAATGAGCCTTTGAGCTGCCTCTGTGCTTCGTTTTAATAACATTCTTGATTTGGGAGTCGGGAATCCCATCGGCTAAATTGCTTTGAAATAAGTACTACGATGGTCCAGGGTAGAGCTGCCTTGAGTATTTACAAGATCCGCTGACAGTCCTGTTCCTGGCTCTCCTCCCCACTCCAAAGTCTCTGTTTAACAAGCCTTTTCCTTGCTCATTTGCGGAGCCGGCAGCCCATCCTGCGGCCGACCTGCTTCCATCTGTGTCAGTGTCTGATGTGTTCGAGATTTGGCTGCAGCGGCAGCAAGCTGCCAGTTTCATTACTAAGCAGCCCGATTTCAGTCGCTCGGAACCGCCCCAGGTGTTGGTCTGACCGGCAGGCAGGCGTCTGCTAGGTGAGCGTTTGCCGGATGCTTCATGTCCATGGGGATGTGTCAGTCACAGTATTTGGGCAGCTTTGACGTCAAGGAGCTGGAGGGAGATGACACCTCTTTTTTCTTGCTCCACTACCTCAAAGGAGGCCCAGCCCTGGAATGTGAAAGTCCTCAGAAGGGACTGGTGCTGCACAGAAGGAAATTCGATAAGGCTTGGCGAGATCTAAGAGACTGTGGAGAATGGTATTGATGGCTGCAGATTGGGACCCTGAGCACGCACCCTTCGAGAGGCCTAATCCTGATAGTCAGGCACTGCCTGAGAAGGCGTCGGGCAGTTAGGGAATTTGTTCATGGATGGAGGAAGGGAGCTGGAGGGGTCAGTTGGATGGTTGGGCCACTACCCTGGGGACTCTAACTCTCTTAGCTTCTGTCAGACCTCTGAGCAGCCCTAGTGTTGGGTGGGGTGTCACAGTGGCTGAGGATCTGGTTCCAGCCCCAGCTTCCTGTTAAACTCACAGTGGTCATCACATCACCACCTCCCTGTGGGCTGTGAAAACCCTCCCAGATGAAGCACATTACACATAGTAGGTACCTAGTCAACTTGCCATAATGATTAATATCATGAAGACACAGGCCTGGCCGATGCTTCCAGGAGGGTCCAGCCCTTTTGGTGCCCTCTCTCCCCTCTCCCTAAGCCCCTTGATCCAGGCTACACCCTACTCTTCCTTCCAGAAGACGGAATGGTTGGTGAGGACCAACCATCGGTAACTGCTGCAATGGCTCCTAACCACTCTACCCTATAAGCCAGGCTGCAGCCCTCCAACCCAGAAGGTCACCTCCTCCTGACCCTGTACACCTCCTCCCGCAGCCTTCCTGAGGGGCCTGTCCCCCAAGTCTCTTCAGTCATTCAAACGTTCCATTGAGCATCTCTTTACCAGGCACTGGCTAGGGAAACTGAGTCAGAGGACTAGAGAACTGTCTTCAGGGATCTTGGAGCCAGAGGAACAGAGAGGAGAGGTGTGTGCTCGGGGACACTCCATTCCCACCCCCTCAATAAGCAGGTCAGATGTCGGGAGTGGGGAGAATGGGTCTGCCCAGGGGCCCAGGCTTCTGGGATGCATTCCAGGGTGATCCTGAAGGAAGAGCAGGGTCTGGCCCTCATTTACCCACCACCTCTGAGTCTCACTTTCCTCAGCTGGAGCAAGGACATATAGCACATGGCTGGCATTGTTACTGCTTTTCCTGCTACTACTATTATGCAGGAAGGAGCTCTGGTAGTGTAGTGGTTACGAATCGGGCTGAGAACCTTAAAGTCAGCAGTTCGAGACTACCAGCTGTTCCATGGGAGAAAGATGAGGCTTTCTGCTCCCGTAAAGATTTACAGCCTTGGAAACCCTGTACGGGGTCACTATGAGTCGGAACCGACTCCACGGCACATCACGACCACTGTTATGCAGTGGCGTCCTGGTGTGGCGTTTTAGGATCAACACTGGACTGGGAACCACAAGATCAGCATTTCAAACACATCAGTTGCTTCTTGTAAACCCTGTACAGTATCCCTATGAGTCAGAATTAACTAAACGATACTTAATAAGAACTATTACGCAATAGAAAGCGAAGCAAGGGCAAGGTACAAACCCTGGACATTGGGAAGTCCAAGTTGGATGGGAGCACAGGCAGTGTGAGAACGGGTGGGTAAGGCCCAAGTGGGCAGATGGGGGTCTGAAGCAGCCCAGGTTGTGAGGAGGCAGTTGGTGACCTTCCTGCAGGCTCAGGGTGACTGTGAACCTTCAGAAGAACAAGGAGCCCCAGTGATGCCAGCCTAAATCTCCAGGAAACACTCCAGGGCTTGGCCTCCCGCCTCTCCTCTTCATTCCTCTGCTTCTATGGTCTCTGAGGAAAGGGCTGTGTCCACGTGCCCTCTGATGGGGTTTCCCCAGTCAGCACCTGGCACAGAGGTGCTAAATGGATGGTGTGAATGAATGACAGAGGCTTGGACCTCTGAGGATGCTGTCATCCACGTGACTCACTCAGCCCTTGCAGACCAAACCATGCGTGTCAGAATAGAACAGTGTTCCACAGGACTTTCAGTGGCTGATTTCTCAGAAGTAGATCAACAGGGCTTAATTCCAAGGCACCTCTGGGTACAGCTAGAACTGCCAACTCTTAGGTTGAGCAGAGTAACTGTTTGTACCCTTTGAATAAGTCCAATCCACGAGTCTGAGTGAAGCAGCAGGAGGGGTTTTCCAGGGAACTCGCACCAGGCTAACTGGCTGGGTAGAATGGTCAAGAACCATCACACCAGATGCCAGGGTTGAGAATCCTCACCATGTGCATGTGGCCCACCTTTGTGGCACGCCATGTGGAAGTGGATTATGTGTTGTGCTGCTAACTGCCGGGTCAACAGTTTGAAACTACCACCCACACTCCAAGTGAGAAAGATGAGACTGTCTGCCCCAGTAAAGATTTCCAGTCTCAGAAATCCTAAGAAGCAGTTCTACTCTTATCTTATAGGGTCACTGTGCATGGGAATCAACTCGATGGCAGTGGGTTTTTAGGTCCTTATTCATTAGTTCAAATGACAAGTGATTAGAGTGGGCGCTATGCTAGGATCTCAGACTCTAGAAATCCTAATCTTTCCATCCAGTGAGTATAGCCCAAGATGATCCAACAAGTACCAGGCACTGCAACGTCCCCAAAAGTCAGTCAGGTGGATTCTCCGGCATGTGGGTCTGTCTAGTCTGTCTCTGAGGTTCAGGGTGGACTGAAGCTGTGGCGTCTCGTTTCTGGAAACCAGCTGGAGGTGATGCTGGGTGTCAGAATGTCACCCAGTGGGAATGGGACAGGAAGATACAACACAGTGGGGATGGAGGGATAGGGGAAGTAGTGAGCAAGGACCAGTGTGTCTACTTCTCTCTCCTTCTGCCTTGCCCATAGAATGTTTGCTTAAGCAAAAAAAAAAAAAAAATTATTATGATTTTGAGGCCAAGATATTCATTTGTCCAGCTCCTTTGGGTTCCTTTGCAAAGCGCCTACTGTTGAAGTGTTTGTCCCCGTCATCGCCACCCTCTTGGGCTGTTGCCACGAGTGGGCAGACAGACAGTGCGTGTTCTCCTGGTGAGAATTCTCAAAAGCCAGCTGCCTGCCGCCCGGCGCGTCTCCGAAGTGCCTGCTAAGGGGATTCTGCCAAGGAAGTCTTGGGCCCACGTGGTTCGGCAGATGGTGCTGGGTGACTTCAAAGGAAGGAGAGGCTGACGTCCCTGTTTGTCAGATGGGTCTGAGGGCCAAGGGGATGTGGAGATGCCTGTGCCTGGCTCTGTGATCACTGCGCCTTACAGACAGCCACACCCCTCCCTGGCACAGTCCCTGAGGGAGGCCTTTCACTCCCACTTGGAAGATGGGGAGACTATGGCAATTATGCAGAGCTGGGGGGGTGGGGTACCTGGAGAGGCCCAATGCACAGAGAGAAGTTGAGAGGTCTCCTGTGGCTCAGCAGGGATGAATGCTGCTCCCGGAAGCCTGTGAGCCTTCTTCTCACTGAGCAAACCTGGTCCCCATCATTAGTTGAGCCCAGGCCTGGCTGATACCCAGGAGACCCAAGTTCTATCAACACTGAAACCAGTAGGCTGGGTGACTGAACCTTGACTTCCCCTTCTGCAAACAAGAAGGCAGTGGGTGGTACGATGGTTCACAGGGACCACTCCAGCCCTCAGAAAACTCACTGCCCCAGGACAGATGGACACGCAAATCAGTTAATCACACAGCAGAACGGTTCCCTGACCTGGACCGTCCCTTCGCTCCCTGTGCAACAGGAATTGTGACAGCCCTAATCAGAAGGTACAGGGACCCTGGTGAGGCAGTGGTTAAGCCCTTGTCTGCTAACTGAAAGGTGTGGCAGTTGGCGTCCATGAAGATGTTCAGCCTTGGAAACCCCATGGGAGCCTTCTACTCTGTCCCATAGCGATGCTGTGAGTAAGAATCGACTCAGTGGTAGAGGGTTGGGTTTGCACTACTTTTCAGGCAAAAACAGGTTTTGATCTGCTGCTAACCTTGTGGTAGATGATTTGAA